GCCGCGGCGGGTGGCCCTAGTAGGGAGCCGCTTCCCTCCGCCCGGCGGCAGCAACAGCGGCGGTAACTTTCCCTCGCTTGGGTTTCAAGTGCCCGCCCTTATCAACTGCTGCTTCCCTCCTCAGCTCGCTCCTCCGGCCCCGCGTGGTGTCCCAGTCTCCTTCCCGCCACTCCGGGGCCCGGCCCCGCGCCCCAGGCGTCAAAGCTCCCTCCCGTGCTCAGCCCACGTGCTCCAGGCCCTGCGCTCGAGCTCGGCACCCGCCGGCACTAGCCTTGCCTACAGGCTAGTCGGGATGCAGCGCTGGAGCTTGCGGGCGCCTCCCGCCCCGCCTGCGCAGCGCAGCGCAAAGCGAGCCCTTCTCGCCCTGCTTCGGGCGCGGGTCAGGGGCAGCCCCGGCTTTGCGCCCTGCCTCATTGGTTAGTTCTTCCGCGCCTCTCCTCCCTCGGCGAGGGAAGGGTCAAGCTGCGTTATCCTTCAGCGTTTTAGTTTAGTCTTAGGATATCCCCCACATCTTCCTTCCCTCTGGAGGTCAACGTCAAACCCGCGATGGGGGGGATAGGCATGAAAAGTCTTGATGTGTTTCATGGAAACAGAGAGAGGCTCCAGAGAGAGAGGGAGCGGCTCGGAGATAATTTTGAAGTTAAAGCAAACACGTTCAAGTTTGGCAAGTCCGCTCCCGCTTTCTATTTTCCCTGCCTATGAAACCAGGACTTTAATAAGGCTCTGGGGTCCCAGGCGGGGAGTGAGGTGGACCCCGACAGGCAGCAACCTGAGGGAGCTGAAGGACATTCGGTTTCAAGCCTTACAAATGTAAAGCATAGGGCATATTTTTTTATAAAGGGAAATAATATGGTAATCCATTTATACTATTGAGGACTATCTCTGCTGCCTTTTAATGGATGAAAGAGCATCCTTGCAGGGAAACGGTTATTTTCCTGGAGGAGGATGAAATAAATTAACCAACCCGTCAGGGTTTAATACATTATTAGACTGGACAGTAGGACTGTATTGATATCCATTTCATAACACTGGAAAGATCCTTACAACAGAATAAAGTCAACTGCAAAATAAAAAGAACTACCCTTCCTGTATCACTTGTCCTGATTTTAACTCTTTCAAAGTCCAGCTCCTGAGCGAGAACCAGACAGATCGATTCTACCTCATTAAAACAATCCTTAAAAGGTTAATAGATGCTGCTGCTCTCCTGATCAGTATGCGGACATAATGTCACTGAGGAAGGCTGACAGCAGTATTTTAAAAGAACTGTCCATGAACATGTCAGGGTGCTTTAGGCTAATTTCACATTCCTTTCCAAACCTAGCAGTAAATACCTTCTAAACCAAGCATCCTCTGTAAAATAAATAAATAAAGACTGACCTTTACAAAACAAAGGATGCAACAGGTTCCTGTTTTGCTTGATGTGCCGAATCAGTGATTCTCAAACAGGGTGTTGTGGCACCCAGAAGTGCCTTGGGGTCCCTTCACGAGTGTAATGCAAAGTTAGCACTGTTAGATATGTAAATGTGATACACAAGATAAAACCAGAGACTTCAAATAGGAATCTATAGTGTTCAAAACACTCGGATCTATTGTAGGCTTCCTGCCTTCAGTGTAACAGATTAATTGTTGTATTCTTTTTCTGTAGTCAAAAAACAAGTGAAAACTTAGAGTTGGCATTTTCCAAGAAGTGCCTGAAGTCTAGGGAACCTGAGAACCACTGAATTAATACCTCAATAAATGGTGTGGTGGGACTTATTCTCTTAACCTTTTAGTTGAAGATCCAAACTGAGTCTGTCAATAAAGCTATATTGTTGACAATGCATTTCCAACCCTACATTTATTGTACATTTTAAAGTTAAATAGAACCTAGAAAACTTGAAATAAACCAAGTTATTGATCACAGATGAGGCTAGTTTACCTGGAAGATAGTTCATCAAGCCTAGTTTTTGGCATTCACAAAAACAACCCAAAAGGAAGCCCCTGCTTAACTACAAATATCAGCTTGGAAACTGAGTAACCAGAGTTAAGTTTTGGGGTCTCTGTTAAACCTCAAGTTGTTTCAATGAAAAAACAATTGACCAATATATTTCTTAAATTTTGAACCTAGTTTCCCAACTGAATGGTTAAAATGGCTTTTTGGTGGCTAGGCTATGAACAGGTAAGTTTAAAAGTACAAGGTAGATTTAAAAAATATGAATGGACCCTGAAAGAGCAATATTGCAAAAAAGACAGTTTATGATTTTGTAGAGTTTAATGCCTTTTAAGTGCTATGGGAAAAAACAAGTGAGTTAATTGAACTAGAAGATGTGGAAAGGATATTGCTAATGCTTAATAAGTGACAGCTATAGAGATGGGCTTCCTAAATTGCCATTTATTTTTATTTGATTTTCTTTCTTTTTCTTCAGAATTGGAAAAATTAAGTCTTTGAGACTTTTTTTCTCCCTCTCTTAAGAAATCTTAGTTATTTTAACTTTTTGGGGGGACAGGTGAAATAAGAAGATGTGGGCAGCATGGGCATACATAATAAGTACAGTAATAATACTGAAAACTTAGAAAGAACATAGGTTATATTTTGACAATGCATTTCCAAACCCAAATTCATTGTATATTTTTAAATTAAATACAAATTTAGAAAACTTAAACCAAGTGTTGTTTAGATAAGTTATTTATCACAAATGAGGTTAAATTGGCAAATATCAAAGTAGTACTGGAAAATATAATTAAACAATAAGATTATCAGAGATTTCCAAATATTTGATCATATACTCAAAACCCCCCAAAAGACTAATTTAATTTGCTTTCAGTATTCAGGATTGTTGATTGATCTCCTAGGTACGTGCATTGCCTTTATTGACTAACACTACATACTGACTGTATTATAATGCATAGTTCACATTTTGTAGGGTTCTGTACACATCATTTGTAGTAAAAGTATATTTGGGCCTGAGAATGAGAGAGCAATTGGTATTTTTTCACCATAGTTTAAATGGCTGCAGATATGGTAAACATTTACGTTGTTGAAAAATGAACTTTTTTATAACAAAAACCAATCGTGGCACTGAAAACACATAATTATTTCTTTGTATCTTTGTTTTAATGAATATAGGAGCATATAGTAAGACCTACAAGAAAAAGGTATTTACCTTAAGCTCTATCAGGCCTAGAATATACACTCTTGAACTTCTGAAAATAAAAAAAAGTTCAGGCAAAGGAGACCACTCCTCTCTGAGTTAAAATTCTCTGGTCATGTGACAACGTCTGAGTCATCTGATTGTTTTCCTCAGGATATGTAGATTAGTTCAGGTAGTTAAATATGTAGCAGAATTGCTACTTTGGTGTTTGTTTGTTTTTTAATACTTACAAAAAAATTGTGCAAGTTTATGTTCAATAAAGGCTTTTCTCTTCTCTTTCCAAAATGAATAATGTTAGTGGCCCAGTGTTCACTGCTTTCTTGATCTCTCTGTGTTGTATCTTCAGTGGGCCGCATGCTGTTAGGAATAACAATACAAAGACTACTGGTACTGGCATGCTTGCCCCATTGCTGGGGACTGGTTTGGCCCCTGTAGCAGGCAAACTGAGTTATGCTCAGACTCTTAGCATAACTTTAGGCCTTTCCAGAACTAAGCAATTAAATTACAGAGTGCTTACAGAGTGACTGGGAAAAGTGAGTGCTGTGATTGGTACGGTGGGCTAACCAGGTACAGTTTCCCTATAAGGAATGTGCTTGGCACAGTGCCAGTGGAATGATTGGCGCACACACCCAGCAGAGGATCTTAAGTCAGTACCCCCGCAGGTTGCTGTTGTAATGTCTAAAGAAACTGCTTACCAGGTCGTATTAGAGGGAGGAAACTTGTAATAAAGAATAGGGATTGCTATTGAAGTTCACTAGACACCACGTCGGATGAGCTGCTGCGTTAATCCTTGGAAGGCTCTGACAAAAAGAATCCTAGGGTTATCATCCCCCAAGACTGGTTCCTAACCTTTTTAGAGTCAAGGCACCCTTTCTTAGACTCAAAGAACCCCTCAGAAAATGTCAGCTCTTAGTTTTCACTGTTTTTTCCACCAGAGGGATATAATAAGAAACTTTTCTGTTGCGGTGAATTCAGAAAGCCCACAACAGGTCAGGATGTATTTAACACTATGGATTCCTATTTGAAATCTCTGGATTTATCTTGTGAATCATATTTGCACATTTCACAGCACTAACACACAGTGGCAGCCTTGAAAAGATCTCAAGGCAGCCAAGGCACCATTGTTGAGCATCACCAGTCTATAGCGTGGCGCTTGCAATCACACCACAGGTGCTTTCTCTATGACTTTGCAGTAAAAGGTACTTAGGTGCTCATTTGGGTTGGGGATTTATTCATCCAAATTCTATGAATGCAGATTTTCCTACACGCATCGGTTCCACTGTATTCTTTTTTCCACTCAGAAACTGTAACTCGCTAAATTAATGGAGAAGCCCTGTAGAAGGGCACTTTGCATCCAAAAGCTGGTCTAACATCTTTTTTAACTATACAGTTAGTCCAATAAAACGTATCACCAAAAAGCTTTGTTTCTCACATATTTCCTAGACCAGCAAGTCTATAACACTCCAACTCTACTACTAAATTATGGGGAATTTCTAACTACACTGCTATTTCCCCATTTCTGTGGCCTAAACCAATCCTTCTATATAAACTAGGATGCCTGTGTTAGCATGCTTATAAAATTAATGTTATTGTACTGTATAGGACCCAGGAAAGAGAACTGAGATACTCAACTCCTTAGCTCAATTTTTTCCTTTTGAACAATTAAAGGTTCAGTCTTGGTTAAATGCACAGTGATCTTTGCTTTTCATATTGAAAGCTTGGTAAATCCTCTAGTGCAGGGATTCCCAGACTCTGGTATGTATGTGTAGCCTGGGGTAGGGGGGATATGGAGAAATTGTGTAATGATGGATTTAATTTTCATTATAATTGGCATTTAAGGGGTTAAAATATAAAACATGCTGGTACAGCTATGCAGGCAGCTGGTAAATCTGGAAGCGGAGGCACAATAAGAAAAAGTTTGCAACCCCCGCACTGTAGTAGGAACACTACTATAACAATGGCATGGGCACAACTGGTACCGAATAATGAACCCCACAGTAGTAATGGCTTATTTACAGCTTACTCCAAGGCAGTACAATAAAATAAACAATACAGTTGATATATAACAATAACATGTATATAATTTGCTAAAAACATACAGTGAAAGTAATAATTCTACCAGTTTACCGCAGAACCCCATACACCAAAAAAGCTCATGAGCCAGCCCCTCCGTCAGTGATCTGTGGGCTGGAAAGGACCTCAAGAGTCTTCTAGTTACTCTCTTCCCCCGCCCCCAAATAACTTGTACTTGTTGATTCGCGTTAAATAACACACGTGGGGGCTCTTTCTGGTTGCATTCTGGACCTTTAGGGCGCTCTTGTTTCCTGCGCCAAGCCTTTCTCCAGACCCCGGAGTACTACAACCTGACTTTAAAATCGAATTTAAGAAAGGAAGGCGAGGCTCTCAGAAGCGGGGCCGCAGAAAGGCCTGGCTGTCACGAGCCGCGGGACCCGGGCGGGCTGCTCGGAGAAGCA